CTTATGCCAACCTCCTATACTTCTCCACCTTCCATTTGTCATACTCACTCATATGAATTGATACTTGAGCTTTAGCATTGCTTGGATATCTTGTTGACAGAAATGCCAATAGTGTTTTGAAATCTCAGAGGCAGGTGGACAAGTGTGTCACCGAAATTAGCCAAAGATACTCTTCGCCGTGTGTTCAGATGCAGTGTGGTCAAGGGACTCCCTTCATTTCTCTGAGCCTCAGTTTCACCATTTTGAAAGGATGGAAGTGGCCTTTATTTCTGAAGGTCGTGAGGATCAAGTGAGATCATTAGTGAGTAATTGTGAATAATTCTTGCATACAGATGTTTTCAGCGAGGTTGCTTTCCCCACCCTGAAGTCCTGTGAAGATGTCCCTTGTTCTGTCCCATACCCAGATTGATTCCAACTTATAATAGACCTTTGCTCATCCTACTGTCACTACAGCAATAATGGATTTATTACTTACATTTTAGTTTTGATTTATGCAATTGTATTTCTTTGAGATTTCCTCATAAAACTACTCTTGGGGGGGGGGGATCGGGGATCAAACTCGGAACCTTGTGCTTTCTAGATAGGCAGTGGCACCACTGAGCTAAATCCCCAGGCCTCAAAACTACTCTTATATGAAAGTGGGAACACCAAAAAGAGGGTGCTCAACTGAAACAAATGAAAAAGGGAATCATCTGGGTTTAGCAGAAGCAATGTGAAAATTAATGATGCTTAGTATTTTCATAAAGCAATGAACATTTTTTTTCTGCCCAGGGCTCGTTGCTTACAGCTTGCCCTTCCTGAAAAATCACCTAATTTTCAATGTGCAGGATCAATAAATGGTATGGTTGTTTTTAGTCTTAGAGAAACCATACAAAAGAAATTTTTGTGTTCACAATTATACTACAGGAGTAGACCTGGAATATCTTTCTCAGAAAAAAAAAACTATATAGAGATATTTAATAAAGTTTTGGAGATGAATAATAACTTAATAATACCATAATATTGCTATTCTTTATATTCTTTATGACAGTTATAAAAATATAATAGCTTCCTTCGCAAGGTACATATAACCTCAGTCTTTTTGCTTTAATATTGCATCATAAGTGTTTTACATATTATAATATTATCTTCCTGTTATAAAGGGCTAAGTGCTATTCCATTTATTTACTGTATCATAATTTTAAAAATATTCTGTTCCATTTATTTAAAGTATCACAATTCTCTAAACACTTTCCATTTGTTGAGCATTTAGGTTGTTTCTATATTATAATTTTCCATGATATAGCTATTATTTTTCCCATAGTGTTTGGGTTCTGTTAAATTCTTTTTTTAGGATAACTTTGCAGAAAGGGGATTACTGTTTAATGAATGTGAATAACTTTCTAATTTTTGATCCTTCACATTATATTTTTCTGCCATGATGTGCTCCTCCCTACCCAACTAAAATAATGTATTCATCCAGTAATGGACTGAAATCTCTAAATTGTGAGACAATATTCTCTTTATAAGTTGAATATCCCTGGTATTTGTTACAATGGCAGAAAGCTGACTAGCACAGTAGTTGAGTCAATAACTCCCATATGAGATCTGATAAGGTTTGATGGAAATAATTCCTGAGGGGAGGGGTAGTTCACCCTAAGTACCCATGTAGGAGTTCTAGTAAGATGTTGCACTCTTCAAAACCTCAAAACAAAATAATGAATTTAAAAAAACCATATAGCACACTAGGTGTTTGAAACCATTTCTAACACCCTAAAAAGGGGCCTACAAATTTTCTCTGTAAAAGGATGTGGGCTGCATAGCCTTTGTTTCAAGTATTCAAGCTACCAGAGACAAATGCAAAGAAATGAATACTGTTGTGTTCCAGTAAAATTTTATTTACCAAAAGAAGCAGAGTCCATCCACATTTTGCTTGAGGGCTGTAGTTGGCCAGTCCCAACCCCAGAAGATAATACATTATTGAAAAGGTAAAAAGCTAATTAAATTGAGAGCTCACAATAGATGTTTAAATTCTTTCTTATATTTTTTTGGCTTTACTTAATATTTCTTAGAAATGTTTATTGTACACACCTTAAGTTACTCTGAGGCTGCAGTGCTATGCTAGTAAATGTTTAACTGATTCTCTAGGGGATATAAAAGCTTTGATGTGTAGTTTGCCAATTTATGATTTCTGTGGCATAAATGCATCTATCATGGCCATCAGTGTGACTGAACAAAGGGCAGGGATGACATGCATTTGAAGCTGGACCCAACACTCCACTTTAAGGGAATAGATCAGTTTGGATTCTTTGGCAGAAGTCACAAAAATCTTAACTAGTTTGAACAGTAAATAAAATGTACTGCAACCATGTACAAAAGAAAGGAAGAAGATCAATAGATGAAGGGAGAGAGAGGTAAGGGAAAGGGAATGAAAAAAGGAAGTAAGATGTATTGTGTTTAAGTACTAACTCCCCATAAGGAATGTGAACATTATGTACTACAAATATGCTCTAATAAATAAAAGATATTAAAAATAAAGTAGAAAAAGAAGTCATGAAGTTGTATCATTGAAAACAAACAAATGTCCCATTACCCAACAGGTTGGAGAGTGTGGTTCTAGGTTGGCTAATTTAGTAGCTCAGTGAAGTCACTAAGGCCCTAGGTTCTTTTCTTTGTCTGTTGTGCAGTCCTTGGCTCACTGACTTTGTCCTCAGGCAAGCTTCCTTCATGCGACCAGCTAGCTACTGTAGCTTTAGGTATCATGTCCAGATTCAAATTGTCTACAGGGAGAAGAGGGCCTTGTTTCTTGTGTCTTTTCCTAGATGATATCTCCTTGTAGTTTGTTGAATAGAGTTACTTCACATAACATCCCTCATCATTCACTGAGGATAAGAGAGACCAATCACAGCCCATTCCCTGAAATGATTGATTGGACTCACTTTCCATGAAGCTCATGTCCACTGGAAAGAGAGCTGATAGACACCTAAATAAAACCATTGGAGGACTTGTGAATTCTGCTACAAGAAGCAGTGTATATGAAAGCAAAACTACAAATATAGCAGATCTTATTAAATAAGAATCTTTCTTTAAGTGTTTAAATTTGGGGGAAGAAAGTAGTAGACTACTAAAATTATCCATGACACAGAGTCATACTTTGGATTGACCAATCCTGAAGCTCTGGAGTGTTGGTGACTCCTTTGGGAGACTGAGTTTGCTCTGAAATTAGAGATAATTTTACAGCAAAGAAGTCAGTAACCTATGGACATGTTTTTGGCAAATAGAAACAATAGCATTTAAAGAACTGCATTTAGCTGTATCAGGCTGCAATTCATGTCATCTGTTGAGTGTGCCACCAGCAAGAGTTATATTGTAAGATTAGACAAAAATGTTTATGAATTTATTTCAAGCAGCGAGGAAATGTGGTGGAAGCAGTGCATGGCCAATAATAGGGCTGATAATGCATTCTGTGCTTGGTGTTAAGGGTTAAATGAGATATTCTCTTTAATGCCACCTAATGGCATCTTGGCCTGTGGAAAGTTCTCTATAAGTGGTAGCTGTGTATTGTTGTTTGCTTTATGCCCCAACATCAGTATTTTGACTATTACTCAGTCTCTAGGCCAATGGTGAATAATGTTATCATTTCCAATAATAGCTTTTACTTTAAATATTTTATCAGTGTATGTTTGCATTACATAATGATTACATTCATTGTGAGGAATAGGTACATGTACATAACACATCTCAATTCTTTTTTTAAAAGTTTCTTTTTTGTTACTGTCTGATTTATCTATTTTATAAGTCTTTATCAAGATGATTATCATAAACAGATTAAAAACCAGACTAACAGATCAAAAAACATATAAAACAATTATACTAAAGCAATGTACACTCTTAGATATATTGGCTGTTCTGGATTACAATAATATTTTTTTCTGTTTTTTTTTTCTATTGTCTGTCTTTTGTTTTACACTTTGGCTTTCTCATATAAAAGAAACCATGTGTTATTTAAGCTTCTGTGTCTGATTTACTTCACTTAATATTATGATCTTAAGGTGCACCCATTGTCCTACAATAATAATTTTATTTTATCAAACCAGGTTTAGTATTTATATCAGTATTGATCTTCCAATATTTTTGATGGATTTATAATAATCTTGCTCTACTTTGTCAGTATCCCCAATTCTCAGGATGGCCAATAAGGTGAAGGGGGAGCCTGTGGCTTTATAACACATGGAAATTGTTGTTACAGCCTTGGCTCAACTTGGTCCAAACTCTTATTTTGCCCCTTAAAAATGTGCCCTTAACTATAAGTAAGAAGGCTATTTAACATGTTGAAGGAATACCTTGAGGAACAATCTGTCTTGCAATATCTAGGGCACCAGAATCGAGCTATAATACAGCAGGGTCCTTGGCTGACAGCCTCACAAGCCTGCAGTGGGGGTGTTAGCCAGACTATTTTCTTAACTGGAGGGGCAACTAAGGAAGAAGTTGCTTCTAAGCTCACTTGGGATATTGGGAGAAAAAACCCCTGAGAGTTTACCCTTTTATTTTCTTATTATACAAGGGATATTGTTTTTTCCCACTTTTTAAAGAATTTATGTTTGTGAAACATAATAGATACATTCATTGTGGGGGATAGGTACATGGACATATTGTATCTTGATACTTTTTTCCTTTTCTTTTTCACTGTTAGAGGCTGCACCTAGTTCCCACAGGCTGCCCAGAATCCCCTGCTGAGTGGCCCTCTGCACAGGCAAGGTGCAGCATGACAGTTTGTTTCTTCAAGGCCTGGGAGAGTGAGAGTAGCAAGACTGAGTCTTACATAACTTGATACAATCACAGGAGTCATGTCCCATCACCTGTGCTGTTTTGTTGGTTAGAATCAAGTCACAGGTAACACTCATGTTTGATAACGAATAATCATATTAATAGGGGACTAATAATCAATTCTTACCAAGTGAAAAAAATCCATCTTTGGACATGACAATAAAATACAAATATGTCCACATTTTTGGTTTTAGATGGCCAATAACCCATGTGCCAGGTAGCATTCTATGCCAACCTTGAATGCCAACAGGAAGACACTGGGCAGCAGACGCTTCCAAGATCATAACTTCTGTTGGAATAACTTGGAAAAGAAGAAGGACAATTGAAACCATGGCAAAAGTGAATAGAGCTAGGTCCACCTCCCCTCCGGATGGAGGCTGGGGCTGGATGATTGTGGCTGGTTGTTTTCTTGTTACCATCTGCACCCGGGCAGTCACCAGGTAGGTGGGATTTTCTTCTTGGTTTATTAAGATGACCTGGCTTGTTTTGTCTTGTGAAAATGTGTGTGTGTGTGTGTGTGTGTGTGGGTGTGTGTGTGACTTTGTTTCTTTTGACTATTCAGATATCTTTTCCTTTGCAAGTTCTGATACTCAAGTGTCCCGGATAGTAGTCTCTATCTACTAATATCTGCTATGTATTCAGATGTTTATGTGTGTTAAGATATTTTTAGACCAAATGTAATGGATATTCCAGTCATTTGTTTTCATATGCAGCTCTAGAAGATGTGAAAGAATATGATATATATTACTTTTTACTCTCCATTGCCCCCTATCATTAACATGAAATATTTAAACTCATATATATGGCATAACATAGAAAATGGTCCAATTTTTTCATTAGAGGATAAATTTCTTCCCTGGTGTTTTTTTGTAGAAAATCAAGAACTTACATCAGGGAGACTAATGAGACTGATGGTTTTTCATGCTCATCAATATCTTATGTGGCTTGTCTTGTTTGGCAGGATATTGAATCTTAATTTTCTTTCAATAACAGTTGGAAGCTGGACATAGTGGCTCATTCCTGTAATCTCAGAACTCAGAAGGCTGAGGTAGAAGGATTGCCATGAGTTTCAGGTCAGCCTGGGCTACATAGTGAGTTCAAGGCCATCCTGAACTGCACAGTGAGACTCTGTCTCATAAAACAAAACAACACACACATAAACACTTGGGAGTTGGGATGGCAAACAGATCACATGATTGCTATTGGGGTGAAAGTCTTGCATCTTATTTTAGATTGTGGGTTTAAGTTTCAATTTCAGTTCAATTGAAATCAATTCTTTTTTTAAGAACATAAAAAGTAATTGTTTCCATTCTTATTAGTATGTTTGTGATACATAATAATTATATTCATTTTGAAGAATTAATAATATATAGTATTGGATAATTTTTTAACCTTTTCCCCAGTCCTTCTCTCTCTCTGCTTTCCTAGATCCCTTTCTCCATCTCTAAAAACTCTACCTCTCTATTTCTTACCATCTTTCCTTTATTTTGCTCTTTAAATTATTTATATTTTGGGATGTTCATGTAAAAGAAACCATTCAGTATTTAGCCTTGTTTCTTCTTTATTTCACTTAATATTATAGTTCAAAATCCATCCATTTTCCTACAAATGATTCAAATTTATTCTTCTTTATGGCTGAGTAATATTCCGTTCATCTGTTGATGGACAGCTAGGCTGTTTTCCTATTTTAACTATTGTGAATTGAGCTACTAACCTGTATCAAGCATTCATTGAGGACAAGGCCCTATGCTAGGTGCTTCAAAAAACAGATGTTGGACACCATATTGTAGGCTTAGGCACAAATAATTGAAATATAAAATATGCTAAATATAAATTTCTGTAAATACAGAATGTAAAATAATACTGAGAGTGAAATAAGTTCTGACCAGGAAGTTCAGGACAGGCTTTTCTAGAGAAGTTGTTCCTGAGTGAAATCTTAAAGAATGGGAAGGACTTGGCCTGGCAGAAAGGAAAGTAGAAGATGTTTCAAGCCATATCAGCGCCATGCACTTCATCTATTACTGGCTTGGCGGTCATGGTGAGTAGTCTCCTCTCCTAAACTGCCAGGGGTTTTGATGGAAATGAGAAAAGAAAGTTGTGGCTGGCAGAAAAGACCTGTTATTAGAAGTTATAAGGAGATTTGGACAGGAAGGCACTGATATTGGATAAAGATAGATGAGAAAAGTGATGATGCTTCAGAACCCAAATGTAATGAATGCTGAAGCAGCCAGGAAAGCTGGAGATGAGGACATGGAAAGCACCTCTGGGGAGATTTGTTCAATCAGATAATCAATGCCTATTGGGGAATCAGGTCTTTCTTCCTACTTAAAAGTGTACTTAGACATCATGCATTCAGGTAGTAAATTCAGACAATTTGGAAATATATAAAATAAGTCTTTTCCTCCTCATTTCTCAAATTCCAGTTTCACTGCCTAAAGTTAACCTTGTCAGTAGTTTCTTTGGATCAGTCCAAAAATGAAAACAAAACAAGAAAATCCCCAACCTTATATTAACATATAAAAACAGTCTTTTAGTTACATTATGGGCTCATATTGTATACATTGGCTTGAGATTTTTTCCCCCACTTATTATCTCTTGAAGTCTTTCTGTATCAGCACACCTGATTTTAGCTTACTGAAAAGTAGCTGCTTAAAATTCCACCATACCACAAGAGAATCACTTAAGCTTATGACTTTGGAACTAGCCTGAACAAAATAGCCCCCATCTAAAAAAATTGCACCTTATGGCTTGGTCTATATTTATTTCACACATTTTTATTGATGGATGCTTTTACTTTTTCTTGGTTTTTGCTGTTGCAAGCAATTGGTGTTGTTATGCCCCTAGTCATTGTAAAGTCCTTTCAGCTCCTCCTTTCCATCACACATCACACAAATTTTACATAGTCCTTAAAGTTGTGTAGGCTATTAAGACAGTCATTATTATTTACTTACTTACTTTACTTGTTAGTATGTATTGATTACTTATTTTTTCTTTGGGACATCTTTTTAGCAAATGCATTATCTATGTTAAGAATACGGTTAATGTGTAATATGTGCTTCATGACATCCTGTGTAATAGTTAATCACTTGAGGAAAGCCAGGCATTTAGCTCAATGGTTCCACCACCTGCCTCGCAAGTGCAAGGTCCCAAGTTCAATCCCTGGTACCAAAAAATTAATTACTTAAGTGAGTTGATTACTGAGAAGCAAAATTTGATTTAAATGTCCAAAAAAAAAACCACCCCACAACAAACCAAATCACGTACATCCAAGATTCATTTTTCTCTAAGTCTGCTGGATCCAAATTACTTGCAATAAGTGCCTATAGTTCTTTGGAACTGTGCGACTCTTTTGAATTCTTAACAATAGCTAATATTCTATAAATAATTCCTGACATGAACTAAACACTGGTGCTTGTTGGCATGTTTTCAAGTATTTTTCAGTGATTAAGTTAGTTAATTTTCATAACATACAGAGGTTTAATAACATATTTAAGGCCCATGCTTAGTAAGTGGAAGTGCTTTTAACCACTGGGCTACCTTGCCCCATGGATCAATTCCTGACCTGACTTAATGGATAGTTTCATCCACCAAATAAAAGCCCTTATCAAGTGCCAGATGTTGTCACCACCCAACTCTACAAGATCCTGTACAGAATTTTACAGCAGAAGTGGAAGACTGAGTCAGACCCCTTGAGAGAAAATGCCTTTGAGAAAGCTGTTTTGTAACTGATGACACTGGTGATATTTTGTTTCTACTTTCCTCTAAATAACACCTATCAAATGCTGGATGCTTATTTTATAGACAGGGAAACTGACACCCTGAAAGATTAAGATGCTTTATCAAAAACTCTCATTCAGTGAAAGCCTCTAAGATCAGAGCCCTGCTCTTCTGACATCGGTAATTGTACAAATATTCCAAAGAACAACAACGCAATTGTCAGAGTGAGATGCACACATGTTCCTTAATAAAATCTGATTTCATTAAAATTATGCCTGGGTTTAAAAGGCATAAAATTTAATAGTTGAAACATTCCATGGTCTTTTTCTCCTTGAGAACATAAGAATTGATATCATATTCTTCTTGCATGTCATTAAAGTCACATCATTTAGACACATGTATGCAGTTATTAAAAATTTTATTTCTGGCAAAAGTGCTTACATGCTTAGACAAGGATCTTACATACCTTTGATTCTTACCTACTTAACACTTGACTGGACATGACTAGTCAAGTCACTTTAAAAAAACCAGCAAGCAGAAAACAAAGCAAGATTTTAAAAACATTACGAGATACAAACATAGTCACGCTAAGTTCCCCAAACGAGAGTATTAAGTTTCCCAAATTTCACGTTACCTATTATATGTTTTAGTCCGTATTTACACTTTCAGTTTCTCACACCAGAGAAATCATACCACAGCGATATATGTGCACCCATGTTTATAGCAGCAGTTTGTAATAGCTAAAGCTTGGAAACAGCCCAAGTGCCCATCAACTGGAAATTGGATAAAAATGTGTTTTTTTTAATAAAATGGAGTACTACTCAGCCATAAAGAATGAGAAACTAGAGTCATTTATAGCTAAGTGGATGCGCATTGAGGCCATACTCTTAAGTGAAATAAATAGGACACACATGTGTAAATATCGAATAGTTTCTCTAGTGTGAGAAACTGAAAGTGTAAATAAGGATTAATATGATTAAAACAAATAATTGATAATTTGAAATAGGAAAAGGCCCAAAGGTGTAGGGGTGGTGGGAGGGGAAGGGAAAAGAAAAAAAGGGAAAGGAAAAATTATGAGAAAAAAATGGAAACAAAATCTATGTAAATAGGGAAGGGTGGAGGCAGTGAGGGGACACAGATAATGGGGAAAAAATAAGAACCAAGATACATCATGTACAGGTACAAGCACCCAATGATAAATGTAAATGTATTGTATATCTAAAATGTACCAATAAAAGAATTTTAAAAAAAGAAGCAATAACTGGGATCATAGAAAAAAAAGTTTCCCAAAATATCTTATTATCTGGGACCTTTTTTTCCTAGATCTTCTGTTTTCTTCTTACATCTCCAGCTTCTGCATCTCTTTCTTGCTGATTCTTTCTCTCAGCCTGTACCATACTAAGATTCTTCACATCCTATTTTACCTCATCTGGCCCATGTTCCTGTGTAGTGGCTGCCATCCAGTTTTCCCTTTCTCATTCATAGTTCTTGAAGTTGTTCAACTATTTTTACTTCTTTATATTCCAGTCACTTCCTCTGCCCAGTCTAATCCTTCCTTCACCTGTTTCTTCCTTCTTTGAACAATAATATGAGTACCCAGTACATAACAAGCACTGTACTAGATCTCTGAGATTCAGTGTGAAATAAGACAGATGTGTCTGCTGTCACAAAGCTATAGTCTCATGGAGAATACAAACAAATGCAAAGGGAATTACCATACAGTGCAGCAGATATCCAGCTTGTAGTAGAAACACATAAGAGAGACATCAATCCCAGTTTTATATTGTCACAGAGGATAGTCAGGGGAAGCCTTCCTGGAGGAGTGGACTCTTGTTTTGAAACACACACACACACACACACACACACAAAGAAGGTTGCTGGGAGAACAACTTAGAAAAGAAAAAAAGCAGAATTAGAAGTGAGAAAAAGTCCCAAGTGGGTGTTGAAAGAAGTAGGAAGTTCACCTCTACTGTGTGTAGAAGGTACTCAAGGTAGCCAAGTATGAATTCAGAAAGACCAGTTAGGAGGCTTTGGGCTGCAGTCCAGGAAAGAGATGCTGGCACGAGTTATGGTGTTAAGGGGGATGGAGATATATGGAGGAATAGAAGAGCTGTCTCCTATGACATAGAATAAATAGAACCTGGTGATTGATTCAATTGTGGTTTTGGTCTCCAGGGGACAGTTGGGCAGAAATATTCTGGGCAGAGGCCAGTGAGGCTGCTAAACATCCTATAATGCACAGGACCATCCCCACAACAAAGAATCGTGTGGCCCAGAATGTCAGTAGTGCTTCTTCTGAGAAATCCTGAGCTAAGGATAACTGAACTATTTTTATAATAATTCTGTATTTACTAAATCTTTATTCACTCAGACAGAACACCTAGTGGTTAGGAGAAAATAATAGACTTCTTAGTACTAGATTAGCAATCTTTAGGAGATTAAGAGATATCATAAGGCTTTTGCTTTTGTTTTTAGTGTGCAGACATTTTTTAGCTTTTGTTTTGTTTTTTGAGACTCAGTCTAATTACTAAATTGCCTAAACTGGGCTTGAACTTTGTGATCCTCCTGCCTCAGTCTCCCAGAGCGCTTGGATTACAGGTATGCACAGCCCCACCCAGCTTTATTAGGAGGTATTCTTGAGATTGATACTTGGCTGGGGAAGGAAGGAAAGGAAGGAGCACAGGCCAGAAGGGCTCTTGTTTTTGTTGTTAGGCTAAATTAAAACTACTGTAAGGTTGTTGCAGTTAATTCATGCTTTTAAAAAGCTCTGCATGATTTTCATTAAATTTAAATTCATACAATTATCCTGGTAGTTTATGATCCATTCTTTGTATTACAGAGGGTGACAATGTTTTGGTAGGCCAGGCCCTGACATAATTATTAACCTAGAGTCAGACCTACTGTAACATGTAATCTGGCTTCTCAAATTACTGGGTGGAAAAGGATTATTTTTTATGTCCCTTTGACAGAGGTAATTATATCAGTGTTCAGTGTAGGGGAACAAGAACAGGACTATGGTAAATGCAGAGATGTACGTCTCAGATGGCCTCAGGATCCCACCTGCAGCTGTCATGTTCACAGGGTCTCCCTCATCTGCAGAAATCTGCCTCTCCCAAGAGGGTGCTCTGCTAGGGCGGACCCACATCTAATGATTGATGGAGGAGGATGCAAAAAATTCTAGACCATTACAGTATTTCATTTGGGACTGGCTGTGGATTTGTCAGCAGGTTGGCATCACAGTCTGAGATTCATTCTCCTTCCCTCCCTCCTTTCCTCCCTCCATCCCTTTCTCTAATCCTGCATCTTTCATATTCTGTCCACAGGTGTTGGTCATCATTGTGTAGCCTACATATTAGGCTCCATGCCAGTGTCTGCTGGGACTTCAAATTCAGCTTCCCATACTGTTCCCTTTCCTCTTTCCTATCACTAGGGACCAGTGCAAAATGAAATTCCAGGGAGCCTTGTTTAAAAACCAGGAAGAAGTGTTGATAAAAGTATCAAAATAGAAAGCTTTTTCTTTCTTCAGTGGTCTCCCAATTTTTCATGGTGTTTTTAATTTGCTATTTAGGCAAAGAAAATGAGAATGTTAAATTATGAGCATAAATTTCCCATTCATCTTTATGTTATGTAATGCCAGTTTTAAATGCATATATGAGTATTGAACTCACTTAGAATCACTGAAGTTTTACAATTCATATTTTATAACTCATGTACACTTACATATTTTGTTTTCACCTGAACTGTGGGAATCATGCACACAGCTAAATCAACGGCTTTTATTTGACTTCTTGGTACTTGCACATCACACCAGTATTCTCTTATCTTTAACTAGTGTGTAAGTAAAGAAGGACTGAACAGAAGAGGAACTACGAGCAGCCCTCTTTTTCTCTTCTTTCTACATCATCATTTTCCACAAAAGTGGTTGGCTGATACAGTAAGAAATGATGTGGTAGGAATGCTTGGTCCTATGTGGTTTTTAAAACGCTCTTCCCTGTTTCAGCATTTAGAGCAAGTTTTGGCTCAGAATGGAAGCATGACCTCTGTTTGGGATGTTAGAACTTTTTTCTTGCTCCTCCATGGTTGCCCACTTGTGGATATACATCTTGTGCTAACTCTAAGTCTTACTCACCTCCCTTGGATCATGGGTCCACTGGAATTTGGTGCTGGGGGGGCATTTTTAGTGCTACTTGTGAGGGGAGGAGCAAAGAGCAGCAGACACTCATAGAAAGCACACGTATCTGCTCTGCTCTCACACAGCCTCATGGTTCCACTGGATTTTACTTATACAACCTAAATTCAAAGGTAAAATTATTAAGAATTGTAAGTCAATGTCAGCTGAACACTGACTCATTTCATGCTTCTGAGTGCCAGGCTCTGTGCATGTGCGTAGGTTGTGCGCCCAGGAAACTGGCCTCAGCTAACCCAGCTGTTCTGAATTTATGTGGTTCTCTTCCTTCTCCTGTGAGCTCTCCTCCACCCACCTTCACACCCAGCAGCAACTAGGGAGGAGGGAGAGAGTGATCACAACCGTGACTGGGCTGCTGAATCACGTGTGATGAGTTGGAAGTTAGACCTATCCAGAGATGGATAACCTCTCATCCTCAGGTCATAGGGCCCGAGTCCTTTCCCTGCGATCAGAGTTCTGAAAGTGTCTGGCTCTGAATTGGGATACTGCATAAATCTTTACATTGGGCCAGGGATTTAGCTCAGTGGTTTTGTCGCCTGCTGCGCAAACACAAGCTCCAGAGTTCGATCCCTGGTACCAAAAAAAAAATCTTCATGTAGCTCTTTCTCTTGTATCGTGATGCAAACTATTGCCTGTGCCTCACTTATGGCTTCTTTTCCCTGGGTAATTAACTATTTTTCAACATGAATATTTTTTTCACTTTCTTTCTCTACACACACACACACGCACACACACACACACACTTTTTTGATCATATAAAACATTATGCTCATTGTTAAATAATTTAAAATGTGTAATAAAACAAAAATGATCATTTATAATCCCACCATTCATATAAAATGATCGAGTGAATTTTGGTGTGAACGTTTTTAGGCTTTTTCTATTTACATGAACTATGTTTTCACAAAAAAATAAGTTCTTACTCTATGAACTATTTTATAGCTTACTTTTTTACTAAATATTATCTTGGAAATTTATTTCCAAATAGTAGGTAAAGCTCAACATCATCATTTTTAATATTTAATAACAAAGCCTTACATTTTATTAATATGCTATGATTTGCTTAACAAATCCTGTACATTTTGGTTAGTTACAATATTTGGCTATAAATAAATAGTTCTCTAGAATATATCCCTTTATGTATAGCTATTATTATTATAATCATCATATGATTATTACTTTTGTATAAATCCTAGAAGGGAATTGTTTGTTTTTATAAATTGTTCTTTACTTTTCAAATTATGAGTTCTACAGACACCTTTTAGAAGTTATAGATATATTACCAAAATACCAAGATGAGTAATAAATCATGTTTTTGACCTGCTATGAAACCTTCTCTAGAGCAATGGTCTTCATACCTTTTTGACTTTGGCAGCCCCTCTGATAGTTGAACACTTGTTCTTCTCTGCTACAGAATGACCCATATAGTCAGCTTCTAATTTCCCACTTACTATGCCTCAGCAATTAGAACCCTTAGGCAATGGGCAGATGACTGAATAAAAACTTTTAAATTCTGTTTCAGTACCATGCTCATTCACCTTTTGTACAAAATACCTGCATTGTGTTTTTCAGATGTATCTCAGTTTTTTTTGTGGAGTTCCAGACATACTTTGGTCAGGATTATGCACAAACAGCATGGATCCATTCCATTGTAGATTGTGTGACCATGCTTTGTGGTGAGTATTACTTACAAGGACAGACAATTACTGACTACTCTCTCTTTTTTTTTTTTGGTACTGGGGATTGAACGCGGGACCTTGGGCTTTCGAGGCAGGCAGTGGAATCACTGAGCTAAATCCCCGGCCCCTGACTACTCTTGAACTGTATATGACCGTGACCTTTGCCAAGATCAAATGACTTTCATTCCCAGTTTTTCTAAGTGAAAAGCCAGTGTTAAAAATTGGTAAAGAGGGCCGGGGATTTAGCTCAGTGGTTTCGCCGCCTGCTGTGCAAGCTCAAGGACCCGAGTTCGATCCCCTGTACCAAAAAAAAAAAAAAAAAAATTGGTAAAGACGATATGACAAGAAAAGATCAATCTATATAAAATATATATAAAACAAGAAAAGAGCCAAACTTAACCAGTCTCAGAATTAATGGTCTTGGCTGATGCCAGATGGAAGAGGTCATTAATACAACGAAAAGGACGTATACTGAACATCACAGAACCTGTCCTGATTTGGGGAGCAGTTTACCCCATAGTATATGCTTGGCTTCTGTCTTCCAAATGCTAAACTTCCTCATCCTCCAGTTATATGAACAATAATTGGATAGCTCCAGGTGCCCTTTCTATAGACTCTCCTTAAATGCCAGCCATATCACATCACATCTTTAGTCTTGGATTCCCAGATGGTTCAAAATTTGGCTCAGAGATTTCATCTTTACATGCATAAATACTTGGAGAAGCATTAGAGGAGGATAAGATTGTGTAATCAGGAGCCAAATGTATTCACTGTGGCTATAATTTCATCCAAGAAATCTCAAAGTTGCTCTTCAGGGGATGGAAACGAATACTCATCTATATAGTAGTAGATGATGAACTTTGAGATTTTTAAAATAAATTTCAAACCAAAGTTATTAAATTGATTTCTTAGAGTTTACAAGGCTAGATTATATTGGAATGATCTGCTTGCAGCATGGACTCACATAATCCTTTCATTTAGATAAGTCTAAAGTATTTAGGAAACTTTCATCTCTTCAGGCCTCATCTCAGTTACAAAGAGAAATACTATATTATTCAGTAACTTATAATAACTTTATCTGATTAAATGTTATTGGATGGGAGGGGTCCTGGTACCATTGTGTCCAGGTTCTTGGTATACCAAAGAATTGAGCAGGACACTCAGTGAAAAGAGTTCATGGGCCTGATAGGACCTGGTCCTGGGTCTCTTAAGGTCCTGGGAATATAAGAGGAACTATAACAGATGTTACAGGAGTACTGGCCCAATGGGGTACCTGACTCAGCCTACCTAGTGGGAGGAGGAGTTTTTGACCATACAGAACTTTTAGAGGAAGTGTCATGGTATCCAAAGGTGCTATAGGAGGTCAAAACTCCAATGAAAATGAGGTTAGATGCAGGCCAGGATTATGTACTTTTGGGTTTGTGCATGCTTTGGGTCTTGGTGGTGATAGGGTGACCTTTATCTATTGATTTTCTGATATTTTGACATTATCATCTCTGCTTTGTCTGGTTTGATTCTTGTTCCATGGCTGTCTGTTGTTTACTTGTCCTTGCTCTACCTCCTACCTCAATTCCATTCAGTGTACTGACTCATATTTATTTTTAGCAAAAATGTACATACTCAGGCATCAGTTGAATTGTGCTGAAATGCATTTCTTTGGTTGAGAGAAATTAGACAGCAATTCTAGTACTGACAGCAGACTTCATGAGAAGGATAAATTGACTTTTTCAAATGATAATAAGCTCTGAAGCAGTCAAAAAAATCATGTCTATGAGTTTTGTAGTTCATTTTGTTTTTCATTTCTTCAACAATCAGTTGATTTCCAGGGTCATGTTATTAGTCACCGAGCCTGTGTCATTATGCCAAGTGACTGTGTTTATCTTTCTCAGAGGATACTGGTGACTTATTTCCCTGACTGTTATCTTCTGGAGAATATTTGTAATCCCCCAAACGAGGTAAATGGCCTTAAGTGACCAGTATGATCACAATGACTACGTGAGACTTTGAGCAGGATCATTTTAGAGCAGTGTGATAAAAATCTATATAAGAATGTGAGACCTCTTATACTCAATTACCGCATACTGCTTACCAGATCATGTAATATTAGAACATTAGAGTTTAGAATACGGGACAAGAGATTACAGAATCACATCTGGGACACTTACTGTGTAAAATCTGCTGTAGATGAAACAGAAGTGAAAGATAGTCATTGAATTGGGTGTAAATGTTTCCATTGAGTTCAATGTAAATTTTGTCACTTTCCAATAACTGTAGTAGTAGTGTCCTTGAGAATTCAATTGATTCTCAGAAGGTTGCTTATTCCTATTCCTAGGAGGTTGCTTAAGATATATATATAGATACACACACACACACACACACACACACACACACACACACACACCTGGTCCAGGGATTTAGCTCAGTGGCACTGTGCTTGTCTGGCAAGCACAAGGTCCTGAGTTTGATCCCTGATACCCCCCAAAAAACCAAAATATATATATATACATCAAGCCATTATTTTATTTTTATTTTTATTTTTTTTAAATTCTTTTATTGGTACATTTTAGGTATACAACACAATTACATTTCTCATTGGAAACTTGTACCTTTACATGATGCGTCTTGGTTCTTATTTTTTCCCCATTCCTAGCCCTCCCTTCACCTCCTCCACCCTTCCCTATTTACAAAGACTTTGTTTCCACTTTTTTCCTTTTCTCATATTTTTCCTTTTCCCTTCTTTCCTTTCCCCTGCCCCTCCCACTACCCCTACCCCTTTGGACCTTTTCTTCCTATTTTGCATTTTCGATTATTCATTCTAATCATTGGTACATTTTAGGTATACAATATAATGACATTCATCATTGGAAATTTGCACCTTTACATAATCTCTCTTGGTTCTTATTTTTCACCCTTGCCCAGCCCTCCCTTCAACCCCTCCATTCCTCCCTATTTACGAAGATTTTGTTCCTATTTTTCCATTTTCTCATATTAATCCCATTCCCTTCTATCCTTTCCCCTAGCCCTCCCACTTCCTTCCCCTTTGCCCCTTTTCTTCCTATTTCATATTACCTATTATACATTTTAGTCCTTATTTACACTTTCAGTTTCTCACACCAGAGAAACTATTCGGTATTTATACATGTGTGTCCTATTTATTTCACTTAAGAGTATCGCCTCAATGTGCATCCATTTAGCTATAAATGTCTCTAATTTCTCATTTTTTATGGCTGAGTAGTACTCCATTTTATTAAAAAAATCACATTTTCTTTCTTTTTTTTTTTATGTGGTACCAGAGATCGAACTCGGGTCCTTGCGTTTGCACAGCAGATGCCAGAACCACTGGGCTAAATCCCTGGCCCCCAAAAAACACATTTTCTTTATCCAGTCTCCAGTTGATGGGCATTTGGGCTGTTTCCAAGTTTTAGCTATCACAAACTGTGGTGCTATGAACATGGGTGCACATATATTACTGTGGTATGATTCTTTTAATTTTGGGGGGAAGATCCCCAGCAGTGGAATAGTGGGGTCTAATGGGACTTCCAGTCCTAATTCTTTGAGGTATCTCCATACTGATTTCCACACTGCTTGCACCAGTCTACACTCCCACCAGCAGTGGAGCAGGGTTCCTCTTTCCCCACAGCCCAGCCAGCATTTGTTATTGGTTGATTTCATGATAGCACCCATTCTTTCTGGGATGAGGTGGAATCTCAGCGTTGTTTTCATTTGCATCTCTCGAATGACCAGTGATGTGGAACATTTTTTCATGTATTTATTTGCTGTTTCTACTTCTTTGTCTGAGAAATGTCTGTTCATTTCAGATGCCCATTTTCGGATTGGGTCTTTAAATTTGGGAGGTCTGATCTTTTTAAGTTCTTTATAGATTTGAGATAGTTGACCTTTGTCTGAGGAAAAGCAGGTGAAGATTTTTTCCCATATTGTGGGTTGTCTCTTCACACTGCTGGTGGTTTCTCTTGCTGTGCAGAAGCTTTTTAATAAGAAGAGATCCCACTTGTTGATTGTGCTAGTTCATGTAAGCCATTATTTTAAATAGATAGGAGACATTAAACTGATGACTGAGTTCATCATGCACATTAAGTTGGCCCCCAACTTGAACCTAATCAATACAAAATGATTATTCAGATGCAAATATAATGGCAATTCTGAACTTGTCCATAGAAATACTGTTGTCAGCATGAAATTTTCTTTAGAAGAAAATTCACATGCCTTCCCCACCATTACAACACTTCTGCCATCGTCTGGAAGACCCAAGGAGTTCAGGATGAAATAACTCCATACTCAGTGTCAGGTGGCTTCAGCTGTACTTCTTGGTGAACTTGGGCACGCCATATCTCTCATTTTTAGCCTCTTACCATTTAAATTAATCTTGTATAAGACTTAAGGTCAACACAATTTGGACACACTGGCAAACTGCAAAGAGTGGGCCAATGAACTTGTCACCATGCATGTAAAACATGTTTCTTAGATTTTTTCTGGGCTTTGACTTTTCATCTACAGAAACTCCTGAAGCCTGAACTCAGTACCCAATTGTGGAATTTTTCTGAGTGCTCTCTCTATGCTGCTTGCACAGTGCTACCTGCTTTCTTTTCTACCGATTAACTGTTACCATTATTATTAATGACATATGATCAGTACTACGTCAAACATCTTTATGCAAGTGACATGTAATTGAAACAGTTGATTCACTGTTTAAAAAAAACACACCCTACAATCCCAGAATTATGACTGTAACAGAATGAATAAAATATAAGTCAGAACATTTGAGTTCTAGTCCAGCTCTGCTTCTTATTCTGTGTTATGACCATAAACAAATCACTTCTCTCTGGATCTCGGTTTCAAAAGCTGTAAAATTGGAGGGATAGACCTGTTGCTTTAATGGTTGATCTGTGCTCTTCCAGTGTAACATCGCAGCCTTTGTACAGTGTCCTCAAGGCCTTTCTGTTGATCCTATTTATTATTGTTTTTGAAGCTCCACTTGGGAGTGTTGTCAGTAACCATTTATCCTGTCAAGTGGGAATCATGCTGGGTGGCTTGCTTGCATCTACTGGTTTCATCCTGGGCTCGTTTGCCACCAGCCTGAAGCATCTCTACCTCACACTGGGAGTTCTTACAGGTAAGGACTCCATGTACCACCTGTTTCACTGCACCTCCTTTAGATGTTGCCAAGCACATCAACAGAGAAGTGATTCATAAAATATTCGTTTTGTTACATGCATAATTAGTCTGACATAGTTTATGTCCATTTACCGAGAAGTTAAGCAGGGTGGAAATGTTGTACTACCTTAATGAAAATGCATCACCACTTTAATTCAGCCATATGATAAAAGTAAATGCTGCCTTTCCCTTTGGCCTTAGGGTATGGCTGAGAGACTGCATTCAGAAGAAACAGGATATTAACCTAGTGCAATATAAATTTTCTGCAGTGGTCATTCCCCCAATATCTTTGCCAAGACACTAAAATACTATCTGTGTTCAACCTGAGTTGCCCTTAAATTACAATAAATATCATTACCCAAATAAGTCTGAGTTTCCCATTTAAAAAAGAAAGCCTCTTGTGAATATTCTTATATTATACAGTCTCTCAATGGAAATATCTCTTTGGAGAATCATAATGAATCTCATGGAAAGAGAAGAACATTACGCATTCCATAAATCATACTTAAGGAGTCTGTATAGGATCCAGATGGGGTCCTCACTTAGAAGGACATGGAGAGTTGCATCCACTCCTGTTTGGGTCCAGTGCCATAAGGGTAGCATGAATCAGGCCAATAGAAGATGCAACTTTATAATAAAGCTGTGAATCTGGCAATGTCAGCTAAAAAAGGTGCATCTACTCCTAATTCAAAGAGCCTGGAGGCTGAGATGACCAGCAGTGAATCTCCTCAGGACTATTCTGGTTTTAGCCCCACATCCGGAAATCTAGGAAACTTGAGATTACTGAGCAGCCTGCACTGTAGATGGAAGTAAGGCCTGACACTGCATCTCCTTTCCTTGCTTTGAAATTCTAAATGCCCTGAAATCTAGCCCTTTAGATTTTCTTAATTTAACAAGCAATAAAATTGAAAATCTCTAGAAAGTTTCTGATCTATCAACATTTTCTCCTGATTTCAAGGGATAATGTTATTACTATGATCGTGCATTCAATTGGAATGGTGTTTTCAAATTTTGTGAAATGATTCTGGAACTTTCAAAGAGTCATATATGCTATTTCAATCCAAATTCCTGAATAGTACAGATTTTCAGTGTTGCATCTTCACAGATAGTGAAGAATTGAGGCAATTATTTAGATAATTTGCATTACAAAAAGTTAAAAGGGGGGAGGAATAAATTTCTTATCCAGATTTTTCTAGCAAATTCAGTTAGTTTGCATAAGGATTTTTATGTTCTTTAATATTAAGAAGTAGTACTTCCCTAAGGGTCTTCTTCCTAAGAAGAAATAGTCTGTGTTTTTCTTATTGTGGATGACTGGTGAGGGGAAACTGTTTTGAGCTTGGCATACAAAGCAGCTTCAAAAGGGTTTCAGGGAGGGTGGGTCCTCTTTAATCCATTTCTGAAATAACTTCTTCCCTTGGCAGCTCATGGTGTCCCGGCACTCACAGAGTTCTCTTTCTCCCAGGTCTTGGATTTGCACTTTGTTACTCTCCAGCCATTGCCATGGTTGGCAAATATTTTAGCAGACGAAAAGCCCTTGCTTATGGGATCGCCATGTCAGGGAGTGGCATCGGCACCTTTGTCCTGGCTCCTGTGGTTCAGCTCCTTATTGAAGAGTTTTCCTGGAGGGGAGCATTGCTCATTCTTGGGGGCTTCGTTTTGAATCTCTGTGTTTGTGGTGCCTTGATGCGGCCCATTACTCTTAAAGAAGAACATTCAAGTCCAGAGCAGAACCGTGTCTGTAGAACTCAGAAAGAAGACTGTAAGCGGGCATCTCCCTATTCATCTTTGACCAAAGAATGGGCGAAGACCTGCCGGTGTTGCTCTTTGCAGCAGGAATACAATTTTTTACTGATGTCAGACTTTGTTGTGTTTGCCATGTCTGTTCTATTTATGGCTTACGGCTGTAGCCCTCTCTTTGTGTACTTGGTGCCTTACGCTTTAAGTGTTGGAGTGAGTCACCAGCAAGCTGCTTTTCTTATGTCCACACTTGGGGTGATTGACATTATTGGCAATATCACATTTGGATGGCTAACTGACAGAAGGTAAAACCCATGAAATCTCTATGGGGGTCTTTAAGCCTTGAGTTTGCCTCACTTTCTTTCCCTGTGGAATGCCCAGATCTGAAGAAGATTAACAAGGCTTGAGTATCTGAAGGCAACCCCCTTGCTATTTCTTCTAAGGCAGGGGCTAGCAAGCTTTTTCTTTAAAGAGACAGATAATGAACATTTTTGGCTTTGTCACAACCACCCAACACTGCTATAGCACAAAAGCATCCATAAACAATATGTTAACAGATGACAGTAGTTGTGTTCTCATGAGACTTTATGGCCACTGAAATTGATTTTCTCTTATGATTTTTATGATGCAATATTTTGTGCTTTTGATTTTTCCCCAAACATTTTAAAATGGGAAAACATTCTTAGTTCATGGGTACAACAAAAACAGGTAACAGTCTGGACTTGACTATAATTTTCCTACCCTTGTCTTGATGGTTTAAGATGATAAGACTGTCTAAATTACAGAAGCCAGCCAGGCACGGTGGCCCATTCCTGCAATCCCAGCTACTCAGGAGTATGGAATAGTAGGGCTGCAAGCTTGAGGCCAGGTCAGCAACTTAACAAGACTCTGTCTCAAATAAAAGAAAATTCAAAGGTCCAGGGATGTAGCTCAGTGTATTGTGCTTGCTTAGCATTTTTGAGGATCTGCGTTCAATCCCCAGTAGTGCAAATAAATAAATTGCAGATGCCAAGGATAACTGCAAGTTCTGTTAATTTAATTTCATCCTAAGTCAAGTCAGTGCTCAAACAAGACAACTTATCACTGGGTCTTGTGGTTTTAGTTTCTGTTGAGCTACCCCAGAGATTGGCTGGCAGACCAGAATTCAGCCAGGTTGGGGGCTGAGGTACATTAATGACAGTTTCTATAGTCACATACGGGTATTTATATTTGACAGTGAAATAGTAAATGTTTTCAATCTATTTTAAGCTTAGAAACCAAAGTAATAGGAAAGCTACTAGGTAGTTTCTCTGGAAAATGCTCATCTGTTTGTTTTGTAGAGTACAAGCTACAATTAGTCTCCTAAATGAACTCTTCCTATTTGAGTTATGCCCTGGGATAGCTATTATCATGTGACTTCTCACAAATTATGTCTTTGGTAATTAAGCAGAAACCAGTTGACATTCTCTAGTATAGCGAAGATAATATTGAGGATTAATTCAACTTTTTTTTTGAGTTGCTAGAGATAAAACTCAGGACCTCACATATGCCTAGCATGTGCTCTATCACTCAGTTACATCCTCAACCCCTCCCAAGTTTAATTAAGGAAGAAAGAAAGGAGAATGAAAAATCTGTCTGCAAAATCAAGTGCTCAGTATGTGCAGTATTTACTTGCCTGTCAACCTCATACCATTTTTGTAAGGTTCAAATGAGGATGTGGGTAGAAAGCTGTTTATAAACTACTAGAACTGACATTATGCAGAATCACTGAAATAATTGGTATCATGGAGGGGTTTAGAGTTACAGAGGGAAAATGTAATGGCAATACCACTGGGGAAGTACTAATATAAGACTTAGTACAAAACCATTGTCATCTCAGGCAGTTCACTTTAATGTCCTCATGTTCCATTTCCCCCTTTGTATAACCACTTGTAGTATTGAGCTTCTATCATGTACTTGATATCAATGAATAGCATATTTGAAAGCATCTAATATAGTAGATGGCTAGAAAATACTAGTGTCTTTTCACTCCATGTATTATTTCAGAACTATCTTAAGAGTAACTTCTCATTTTATAGTGAGTTTGAAATCAGTTAGATTTTAGCATATATATTTTCTCTGCCATGTATATTTTGTCTGTGCTTCCTAGAGAGATAAATTCTTACATTTGCATTTATCAAAAGAAAGATGGGAAGACAATGTAGGTATCATACAAAGAAGAAGTCATCTTTATAAATAATTGCGATGCTTATTGCTGCATGACCCTGATTCTAAAACTCTTTTACAGAACTTGTACAGCCTTCACTCATTCTCATTCTTCAAATCCACAGGTGTCTGAAGAGTTACCAATATATTTGCTACCTCTTTGCCGTGGGACTAGATGGGCTGTGCTATCTTTGCCTCCCAATGCTTCAAAGTCTCCCCCTGCTTGTGCCTTTCTCTTGTACCTTTGGCTACTTTGATGGAGCCTATGTGACCTTAATTCCAGTAGTGACTGCAGAAATAGTGGGGACCACCTCTTTGTCATCAGCACTTGGTGTGGTGTATTTCCTTCATGCAGTGCCCTATCTGGTGAGCCCACCCGTTGCAGGTAAGTTTTTATAGAAAGCCACCAAATACTTTTGTCAAAAGAGTGAACTCATGCATAGATGTGCATGTACACACACACACACACACACACACACAAGATGGATTGGCAATTGGCAAGAGATCCAGGGGAGAGTGAAAAAGAACCAGGATGCAAGAGCCATTTAAAAAATCATGTTCTTGCCAGGCATTGTGGCACACACTTGTAACTCCAGCACTTTGGGAAGCTGAAGTAGAAGTATCTCCAAGTTCAAGCCTAGCCTGGGAAACTTAGCAACTTAGTGAGACCTATCCTAGATAGATAGATAGACAGACAGACAGACAGACAGATAGAGGCTGGGAATATAGCTCAGTGTGAAGGCTGTGGGTTCAATCCCTAGTAACAAAACAAAAACTGAATAACACCCATCATGTTCTTACCAACATCTTTGTTTTATAATCCCTTTTTCAACAAAGTGGGAGCCTTAGCTTATCTGGGAAAAAAAAGGTCCCAAATTACGTTCCATCCCATACTAATAATGGGAGTAACAGAGTGGAGCAGTTGTTCAAACTTCTAAATAAGTAGGGCGCATTTGGAGAGAAGTCTGGTGAGTATAGGATTCCAGTAGGGGCCAGTGAGTGATGAGGTTGAAGTGAGAGGTACTTGTGTCATAGTGGGGTACTCTGAGTGCCAGGCAAAGGAGCCAGGCTTTCTATTTTTCATTTACTATTTGCATTTACAAATGTGGGTCGTATTAAAGTTTTTGTGCAAAGTGGTATTAGTGAAAAGTGTATTTTAAAAATGGTCTAGCAATGGATGTAGTGATTTAAGACAAAGGTAGGTAAGATTCTGTTTTAATGGTTGAGAAGCAAACTGACAAATGCCTAAACTAGTGCTGCTGCAACAGAAATGGAAATGAACTCGGAAAGAAAGGAGGAAATTTTGTAAAACAAACTGAATTTAACATATGGGGGTGAAGGAGAGAAAGAAGCTAAAGATGAATTAGAAAATAGTGTCATGGTTGAAAGAAATAAGGAAATCGAAAACAGTGCCTTTGCCTGAAAAATAATGAATTTAAAGTTAAGATATAGTAAGACACCTGTAATAATCAGATGAAAATGCTCAACAAAGTGCACTACAATTTAGAGGGAGCCCAGATTTGGACATACAGATTTCAGAGTCATCAGATGAAACTTCCAGAGCCTTTTATAAATTATAGAATGCTGTGAAAACTTAGAGCATGATCAAAAATAATTTGACAAACATTTATTGCATATTTCAAGTAATTCAACAAATATTTATTGTTTTCACAGCTAGCATTTTGCTTGGTGCTGGCGATGTGGCAGCAGCAAACTGGGCTGAACTTGTTTCTCCTTTCTGGAACTTGTGGTCCAGACCAGTGTTTCCTGGGATGAGACCCTGGGACCTCTACATCCAAGTCCCTGAGGGCACTTGTTAAAAAGTGCACATTCCTTGACCCTTTCACCTATGATCTGCACTTTTTCAAACTTATTCTTTATTGGTACATTTGCAGTATATAAGGTTTACATTTCTTTTAGGTGCATAATATACCTTAATTCCTTTTTCATGCCCTCCGTCCATCTTTTGATTCTCTTCCCATGTGAGAGAGATCTATGTCCCTACTTCCTATTATCTATCCTTTATTTTGCTATTTTTATATTTTGGGTTTCTCATACAAGAAAAACTATGTGATATTTAAGCTCATGTGTCTGATTTATTTCAGTTAACATTATGGTCTCAAAGTGCATCCATTTTCCTACAAATGACTCAAGTTTATCTATCTATCTTTACTCACAAAAGTACTAGCAGAGTAGTTCTTTTGTGAGTAAATTCCAGGAATCTGCATTTTCAGCCAGCTCTCTTGTGATGTTCAGGTATACTAAAGATTGAGAGTAATGGTCTGGAATATTACCTGCTAAGTTAAATCTAAGAGAGTGAATAAAACCTCTGAAAACAGGCAAGAGAGAAATGATCCAAATATTTGCCTAAAGAGGGAAGAGGATTTCTTAAAGAAGGCAGTTTCTGATATTAGCTACTATTATAAATAGACAATTTATGTTTATTTCCAAACTCTAGCAAGTGCTAAAGAAGCATACTGGGGAAACTGTAGCTGCTTAACTGCTGCAGGTAAAAATTTCAGATCAGTTTTAAACTTCATGATGCTGGACTACCAGTTTATTGCCTCATTTTTGAAAACTACTCCCAAAATGTTCCCACATCCTCTATTCATAGCCAATTTTAGGGTTTACCAGTTTTTAGAAACAATGTAATTCTGCTACATGTCAAAAGACATACTTGACATTGGGATTCCAGGATTTTTTTTTTTATTTCTAGCCTTTATTTGGCAAGTTAGACATTATGATCATTAATGGAAGTTAAAGGATTGAGATGTGAGATCTTGTAAAATTTCTCTTTTTTGGGGGGGGGTACCTGGGATTGAACTTGGGACCTTGTGCTTGCGAGGCAGGTGACAACAGAACCACTGAGCTAAATCCAAACTTCTCTTTTTAATTTAAATTTAAAATGACAATCCACCATTTAGTCTCCATTGAGTGCTACAGAAATACACTAGTAAATCAAATGATAACTAAAATGTTTGAGAGTAATTTGCAAGAAACTTTGTGGGACTTATAACAATTTCTATGCTATTTTTGACTAGTTACTGGTGGATTTGAGGTAGGTGAAAGGAGCCATGTATTTCTCTGGTGAATTTTTTTTTTTTGGCATATAGGTAGAGTTTAGAGGAATTTTAAAAAGAACTTTTTGTTAATCACAAAATAATTGCCTGCCAAGTACAATTTTATCATACTATTTCTTGAATAATCATGACTCATATTTTGCTTATTATATGCCCTTGTTTTCTTTAAAATTTAAATTGGGGGGCCAGGGATTTAGCTCAGCGGTTTTACCGCCTGCTGCGCAAGCATAAGGACCCTAGTTCGATCCCCGGTACCAAAAAAAAAAAAAGAAAAAAATTTAAGCTGGGAAAGGTATTGAAATTAATTTGTTCCAACAAGAAATGAAGGTGAAAAACCCTGTGGTTACAAATGTCTGCCTTCAGAAGTATGCATTTACAGGTATGATGACTCAAAGTTCTGATTTTCTACTTGGAAGGGGTACAGTTGAAACTGGATCCTATTGAAAATTTTGCTACTTCTTTGAAGCTTATAATGTTACTTAAGATAGTACATGGGGGCCAGGGATTTAGCTCAGTGGTTCTGCCGCATGCCTGGAAAGTGCAAGGTCCTGAGTTCAATCCCCGGTACCAAAAAAAAAAAAAAAAAATAGCATGTGGGTGCTGGGAATACTAAGATCTTTTGTATAATTATATTCTTTTAACATCTAGATAAATAATCTGAACTTCAATAATTTGATTAATGTTTAAAGTCACAGGGCAGCCCAGCATGGTGGTGTACTCCTGTAATCCCAACATTTAGGAAGGCTGAGGCAAGAGCATGATAAATTCAATCCCTGTCTGGGCAATTTAGTAAGAACCTGTTTCAAAATAAAAAACTAAAAAAGGACCATGAATGTAGCTCAGTGGTAGAGTGCCCCTGGATTCAATCTCCAGTACTGAAAAAAAAAGCCACAGGACATACAATAAAAAAAACCCCTAATATTTATTGTATGATTACTAAGTACATGACATTCTCCCAACAACTTTACTTAATAATCATTTCATTTTAGAAGTTGCCCCAAAAAGTAGAAAACATTTCTCAGTTGCTACGTGTTATTTTTAGACAATCTGTTTTTTGTCTCAAAATTATAATATTCGTGCTAGCAATCTGTTGTCATTATACTTACAAATTATTAGATTTGAGAGTGGGTAAGTATAGTAATTGGATTTTCAGCTCAACAATGTAATTTTGCTGTTGTTTGTTGCAGGGTGGCTGGTAGATACAACAGGCAGCTATACTGCAGCCTTCCTTCTCTGTGGATTTTCCATGATATTTAGTTCTGTGTTGCTTGGCTTTGCCAGACTTGTAAAGAGGATGAAAAAACCCCAGCTGCAGTTGCTTGCCAAAGAATCTGATCCCAAGCGGCAGCTATGGACCAATGGATCAGTGGCTTATTCTGTAACAAGAGAATTAGATCACAAAGATGAGGAATTTATGGCTGCAGCAGGACCTGGTTACAACCTCACATGACCAATGGCCTTGAACTTGGGATTTTTAGGTCCGAGGGAGGTGGGGCCACCAGATTCTTCATGTTTCTGAAGCATTTTATTTTGACAGAAGTACTGCCTTTCAAGGAAATTATTATTGTTGCCTTGTTAACATATTTATACGGGGAAAATAGCAAATAATAAAGAGTGCTGGACTAGCCTTAGAGTTTCCTCTTTGGGGATTTGTATTCACAATCAAATTTAGATCTTTGGGCCAACAGAGCATTGCTTCACAGAGAAAATAAGAATACAGTTGATTTAATGAACTGCAATTAGGAGTAATTCCAAAATATAACCAAAGTACATGCTACTGGGCAGCAGCTTTGTCAGCCCAAAATCTCTGCCATTCCAGCCTCCTTCCTCAACTAGAAACAAACAGAAATATTGACATCGGTTGCTTTCTTCATCCTGTTTGCAGAAGAGGGGTCAGCTTGGGTGTGATGGTGGAAGGCGAAGACTCCAGTCTTTTTTCATGGCAGAGTTTCTCATTAGAGTGGTTAAGGAACACTTGAGATTCTTCAAAAGGCAATGGTCAATATAGGAAGAGATTTTTCCCCCTTTGTCATCTTCTAGCCAACGCTTGTGTCTGCCGATGTCTAGATATCTCTTGTAGAATCTAAGGAATCATGAAATGCCATGGCTGGAATGGATCTTAATGGGTGGCTGGTGACATATTCTATTTGAAATAATCCACTTCAAATGGAAAGCTCTTTTCCCTGGATTGTTTCCTAGCACTCACCTCTGTTATTATTACATATTTAGTCTAAATTTAGCAGAGCACATCCAGTTGCAAGGACAACCTCTCCATCTTTACTGAAATGTTGATAATACCAAAACTTCCCATGTTGTTTTCCTTTAAAAAAAAAAAAAAGCTCTTATTTAAAGTGCAGACATGGTCCTATTAGGAAATAAAAAATGTTGACAGCATTCCAATTGGACAAGAATTAAATTTTTGAATCAGCAGGTCTTTGGTGAGAGATAACTTTGCAGGTCAGACTCTAGGTTCATCATTGGCCTAAAAAAAGGACTTGAGGGTTTTACCTGAAATATATTATCTTGAAGACACTCTAAAAATGAGATTCTTTTCTCCTATTATTCATGTTTGTTCCAATGCACAGTGTCCTTCATCTCTTTATGAATAATAAGTGGAAACATAACTGTTTGGCGTCAGGTGGTTTTTCATTCCCCCATACCCCACTTCTCTGCAGTTTCAGATTATTTCTGAGTTTTCAATTTTAAGAGGGAGAACATGGAGAGAGAAGAGAAAGGCCAGGTCTGCCAGGTTGCTTAAAACTGTTTCAAATCCACATAATTGTAATCTTGAAACCCAAATCATCTCACACCTGCAAATAGGGGCAAGTCACATAATTAAAAGGAGGATTTTAATTATTCAAGAGTTTCAAATCCACACTTCTAGGAAATATTTTGAGCCTACAGGACATTTAACCTACTGAACCCCAAGAGACTTACCAAGTGCCATGCCAGGGATGCTGGGAGGAAAAACAGAATGATGAGGAAGATCTTGAGTTGGCTAAAGAATCCATGCTTATAACTGGATTATCTCACAACAATCACATGTTAATCCATTGCTTTCTGAGTGAAATAAAGCTTGGTTTGATGGTAGAATATGGTAATATTTCCAGGTTGTTTTCCAAAGAGAATTTTAATGTTATCTATTATCTCTTTAGTTTGAGAATTAGTTTTGAGAATTAGTTCTATTTGCTTTCTCATTGTAACCTTAAAAAGTGGAAAATATATGTAAAAAGTCAAAGTTAAAAGATTTGGAATAGCACTTTACCTTAAACATCATTTCTTGAATCTTCAAGTATAAAGATTTTTTGAAGCATAAATATTCTTATAGATATTTTTTCATAGTGATGATCACAGTAAAGTTCTGCAATATAATTTCTCTAAAGTATTATAAGTATTTATGAAAATGAGCAAAGTGATGAGAGGTTTTAAAGATTTGCATAAAAACATCTGAGATATTTTAACTTTATACATGCATAAATTTGCACTGTACTTTCTCTCTTATAGCAGGATTTTCAGAAAACTAGTAAGAAAAATGTAGATCTGAGAGTCTACAATTTTGCTATATATACAGAATTTTACTGTTAATGTTTCATGTGCGTATACTGTCTGTTTCAAAACTGAGGGATTTGTGGAAATTATATACTTTATGGAATCAAGAACAAAACTGTAGCAGAATGAGTCTACATCTTAAATATTTCTTTATACCACTGTAAGTTCTACTGTGGAAATGACTGAGTAGAAAAGCAGAATAAACTTTCTAACTTCTGTAGCCAATCTGTACTATTGAGACCTTTGTTCAGATTATAATTTCACTACTAAATCATACATGTATGCTAAAATTTTCCTATTTCAAAATCAAAATAAAGTGAGTTTATAGTGATGTGTTTGGAAGAATTTTTGTCTTGAATAAGGGGTCTGGATAGGATGGTGAGTGGGCCTGTCTATATTATGTTAAATGTAGTAGTATGAGTTTAAAAAAATCCTTTAGTGATAATGTCTTGTGTGCTAGGTACTTCTTATGTGTTGTCTTATTTAACCCTTATACTAATTTACATTATCACGGTTTTATAGATACAGAAACTAAGCCACCAGGTCCTACAGCTCAGTAGCCACTTATACTCCAGTGACTCAAGTGTGAACCCTGTAAAACTGGGTTGCTGTCAGATGATGGAACCTGGGAAGGGAGTAGGTTGCGTACTTTGTCCTCAAAGTGAGTTTCATCTTCCAAACTCCCTAAGCAATACTTTCCCCATCAGGAGTTACTTTTGAAGTAACTTTTCCAATACCAGTGTTTATTGGATTCTTACTATCCTCATCCTTATAAGTCTAATTCTGAAATTGTTTATGGAAAGGAAATAGTGTGAATTCAAGGTAGACATCTGAGTTTCTCACCTCATACTTCAAAGGTTGAATCTTTAAAAAAAATTTTAACACCACCAAACAATAGATTTTTGTACTTTTTTCCAGAACAGTTATCAGTGACAGATGACTGGAATTTTACCCCATTGGAGAGAAAACTGTTTGGTGGGGGAGTGCAAAAATATTAAATAATGACAAAAAGGCTGACATTTAAAACAAAACATTTCATCATGGAACTTTTCAAACCTTCCCAAAAGTACTAAGAATAAAATGAACTTGATGTACCCATCCCTGAGCATCTACAATCTTGATGAAGCAATTTGAAAGGTATTAACTTGATTTATCTTCCTTCAGCTATGGAAGGATATCTGAACTTGGCAAGAATAACTTGTTCATGTTATAAGAAGATACAGGTGATTAGTACAGTATTATCTGTTAAAAACACGCCACATCATTTATAAAGAGGATTAAGGCCCCTTTTTTTCTATAATCTGAGTGTGAATTGCAGATTCAAACTTCCTCCTTTCTTCTGCCCCCTTGTGGAATTATCTATCTGATGATTAGGGCAGTGTTAAAAGTGTTACTTAAGGTCATCATTACTCTCATTATTGCTCTTCATTATTTAAGAGTCAGAGATCTCTTTGAGGGATCTGGGACCTAGAATTTGCCTAAAATTAAATTAAAGTACTTATTTTTGAGGTGTTAATTGACATTAAAAGGTATTAAGATTAGGATTTTAAAGGAGTCCTTTAAAAGTTTTCTCATGTAAGTATTTCTTTTATGATGGCAACTTAGGTCTTTTCCTACTGAGGAATAATTTGATGGAAGAGCTGAAGATCCTGATCCTAGACTTGTTCTCATTCCTGGAAAGCTTGATTTTGGCAACTGGGGCCAGAGCAAGGTCCAGGAATGGGTCACAGTAGGGAAGAGTCTGGAAGTGAGACAGAGAGACTAGGCAGTCTCTTTGTTCCAGCAGACACCTAAGGCCTCTGGCTCTCTAAATTTGCCAATCTCCACCCAGGCAGAGATGGGAGAATTCAGATATCTGACTTTAGTTTCAAAAGTTCAATCAGGGAAGGGGAAAGTGTTTTTTCAGAATCATAGTACTTATAGGTCTGGTGTAAGCATTCAGTACCCACACTGGAATAGGACTTATAAGATTGCACAGGGGGACTCTCCTGCCTGTTAGACTACATTTCTCTGAAAACTCTAAACACCAAGGTTCCCATCTGTCCGCAGCTTGGGGCATTTTGCATATGGTGAGCTGATGTAGACTCACTTCTCATCTTGGAGCTAGGTTTCCTTGTACTTTCTAGAGTCCATCTTTAATCACCTCACCTATCTAAATTACATGTCCTTACACCTGCATTATTCGTTTGCACAGCACCCTCTTCTTTTCTGCAAAGAACATATCTTAACTATAATTAAATATTCATTTTTGTGTTTATTTTAAAATTTCATCTCCCCACCCCCAAACCACAAGTTGTCTGAGGATAAGAATCATGTTGATTTAATAGATGTCTGCCATATAATAGATATTTGATAGATAACTTGGTGAATGAATAAATGAATGAGAACAAATAAAGAATGCATTTAAAAACTGATAAGAAGAATTGTGACACAAATGGGTTGGACCAATGGAAAGGTAGGCAGGGGCAGGTTTGTGTTAAGTTGCTCTTACACCCAGAACAGATAGGATGTTTTATTCCAAATTCAGTGAGTCTAAACAGAACACCTGTGAGAGGTGTCACATTCTGATCAGGATGTCCACAGCACTGAACAGCCTAGGGCAGGTTTGGGGAAAGGAATTAAAGTACCAAAGGGAATAATGGACAGAAAGATATTAAGTAACCAGAGCCTTTGATTTAAGGCCTGAATTTAAAAACGATACTTCAGTGTTCAACCCAGTCACACTTAAATAAGATAGCTCCATTTTGCACGAATCAGTAGAAGCCCTGGGGAAGGGCCACAGCTCACAGAGAACTTTAACACTGGGAAAAGGTAGGTCACACTCACATGCTTTGGGATTTTGTCCGTAAGCACCACACAGTTGCTTGTAGGTGAAAACTCTGCCAGGGTTAAATCAGGTAGAAGCCTCTGCTGGAGTCCTTCCCCAGACCCATGATTGGCTCCTAAAGAGTAGGGTGTTACTGAGAATTAGCAGGCTGGCAGGAGTTTCTGAGAGACAGTAAGAAGAGTTCACCAACCTTGAACACACACACAGCACCCACTCTATGATCTCAAGTTCACTGCTTAGTTGGTAAAGTGAAACTAACTCCGTTTCATAGTTTCTCCTTGGTGAGAACACTGAGAAGTCATCAAATGCTAACGTGAGGCTAAGGGTGTGGTCCTCAGAGGAGAGGAAGAATTGTGGATTGGAAAAGTGTAAAGCTGATCCAAAGAATCCTTAAATGGGGATGAGAGTAGGAATCAGCCTGACTCTTTTCAGAGAAGAGGTTGGCAGTGGGAGAAAGGTTGTGGGGCACCCACTGTATGTGAGAACCTGATGTTCCAGCAGACATGCATGGATGTGCAGAACCAAGCACAAGCTGAGGGAAATGTTTGTCCTATGGAGCTCACAAACACAGCTAGGACTTGGGGGAGTTGCCGGAATTTGGGGATTGCATTTGGTTTCTCTAAATTGAAAGAAGGAACTTTCAGGAGGTGGGTTATACTTCAGTATTCCCCTTTCAACTCTAAAAAGGAAACATTTGTAAACTTTCTTTTCTCTCTAGAGCTTCAAAATCAGAAAAGAAAAGAAAAAAGCATTATTAAATTGAGATGCTATGCAGCACTGCCATCTGCTGGAATTAATGATTCCAAGAAGTTGCAGGTGCCTTCAACTATAGTTCAACTTTGCGATGCTAGCCTTAAATGGTAATATTTAAGATTGCTATTATATCTTCCTCCAACCCCATTCTCTGCTCATTACTCATCCCACATTCATCCTCTTCCTCTTGCAAGTACAAATACATGGATAAACATGCAGTGTGGCATTTTTCAACATTTTGACTGCCGGTGTCAGTATTCTACAAGGAGCAGCAAAGAACATGAATGATGATTTTGAGCTGACTAGAGACGGCCATTGGTAAAAGTTAATGTAAAAAAAATTTGGAGCCCTGTGGTTTCCCCAGGAGCCCAGATTACCATCTGGGTCCCCTTCTTATGCCCCATTGTGAGCTCCACTAGTATGTTAATTGATTTCATGTTTGTTGATAACAGGTTAAGTGTGAGATGCAGAACCTTGAACATATTAAAAGAAGCCTAGTTTTGCAAAGTGTTCAAACAAAATGATTTAGGAGGCAGAATTCTGTGTTGATTTAAAATAATATTATTACAGTAATACAGATTATGATAAATACAGTGATTGGATTTACTTTAAAATGTGTGATCTGTAAGGGGATATTATTTATTTATAACTACAATTGCCTTCAAAGACAGGTAGGCCATTCTAAAATGAAAGATTCTTGGGCTGAGGATTTAGCTCAGTGGCACTGTGCCTGCCTTGCAAGCACAAGGTCCTGAGTTCAATCCCCGGTACTGGAATAATAATAAAATGAAAGATTCTTCTGTTGAATAAAATGACTGATAAATTTGGTTATGCATAGGTGGGTCTGTGGCTGATTATAAAGATAAGAGTTAGAGAAATTAGAATTGCTCTGTTTAAGAAAAACAGAGAAATTGCCTTTTGTTTTGGAAGGGGAAGACTAGGCATAGGGATTCAGGCAAGGGTTAGAACATGGGAAGAGGCAGAAATATCAAGACACAGTTGAGGCAGGGAATTGATTACTTGTGTCCTAGTAAGTGGTAAAAAGAAAAAGAAAAAAAGAAAGAAAGAAAGAAAGAAAGAGAGAGAGAGGTGATTGAGGGTCTTTCCTCCTATGCCTCCTTCTCCTTTCTCCTCTTTCCATTCCTTTTGTTTCTTTCTTTTCTCTCCTCTTTCAGTTCCCTCTTTCTCTCCCTCTCCTTCCCTATCCCCCCCTTTCTGAAAAATAGGAATTATCTGATATTGAGTTGTACATTCTTCTATCTCCTGAAACCGTCTCAATAAAGGATTTTATATACAAATGGACTGTAAATTGTTTTTAGTTTTGGTGTTTGTTTTGGTGTTTATATTTGTTCCCTGCTCTGGTGAGATTGCTGGAGTTGACCTAGTGCCCAAAAGGGAAAGCACCTGAAGAACAGTGAAGCGACCCTTGAACCAAATTAATTTAACTCAGGAGCTCAGAGACACTTTTCAGAGTCAGTGTCTTGGATGCTCAATGCAAACCCAGGGAATGTTAATTGTGTAGTGATTCTTCAGCTCTCTCAAGTAGGTTGCTTCCTTTTTCGAGGAATTTACTGCGTGAGAGAAGCTCCTGCTTCAGACTGTGTCCCTTGATTTCTTGCACCATTCTCTCCATGCGTTTCAGACAAGATTTTAATAGTGTGAGCTTAACACATGTCCTGCACTTAGACAGCACCTAGGAGAGTTAGCTGTTTCTTCTGTGTCCAATCCATGCTAGTCTTTCATTTTATCAGCGAGGTCCTGTGTTCTCCCAGGAGGTTTGGCATTTCCAAAGTTTATACATGTCACCTTCACTAATTTGGTTATTTGGCTGAGCTGTCATCATGAAAGGCACCAAAAATCCTAGTTCATCTCTTTATGGAGGCACCTCTCAATTCAGAATAGTCATGGCTTTTCTGTACATAGTTTTGGCAGTTAGATGCTGGGGTTTTTTTCTCTTACAGTGAAATATAACAAAATTTTTCATGAACAAACTTATCTTGGTAACTAAGAAACTGCCAGAGAAGGAGGTAGGTGTGATGGGATATGTTACAATGTAGATCCAGAATGTGCCCCCAGAACTCTCATGTTCTCAGAGGAGGGGCGATTGGATAATAAGGTGATTGGATAATAGGGGGCTATACCTATCAGTACACTGATCCACTGATGACTCCATAGCTCAAAGTGCTGTTGGAACTGGGGTCTGGGCTAAAGAAGTGGTTCACTGGGGGTAACTGGAAAAGTATATCACCCTCTCCAGCTTCTCACTTCTTCTCTGTGCTTCCTGACTGCCATGATGTGAGGCCCAAAGCTCCGGGCAATCTTGAACAGCTAGTAATGCAGTCCCACAAGACTGTAAACTTTTAGTATTATATGCAATATTTAGTGGTATTTTTTTTCATGACTGGACTGTAAGGTACTGGAGCATGGACTGGACTGTGTAGGCCACAATGGCTCACTGAGTGGGGTAGGGTGCACCACAGTGCTAACTCTGCCTCCTGCACCCACTGTTCAGTCACTGAACTGAAACCAGTGTGTATGAGATATTGTATGTGTTTGTGTAGAAGACATAAAAAGTTGTTTTATTATTTATATACATTAACTATATTATATATTTTATACGCAGCCCAAGACATTTCCCTTTCACTCAGTGCAGTTCAGGAAAGCCGAAAGGCTGGACACCCATGGTGTATAGGTCAGCTGAAATGAAGCACTAAATATAACCAAGAGGAAAAACATTTTAAAGCCAACTGCTCATGTATGTGAAAGATGTGCTTCCAAATGGCATGTATGGAAAATCCTAAGCACAAAAAATAGGTACCAAGGGAGTATTTTGATTTTGGTTACCGTAATGGAAGTATCATTCATAGAAAAAAGAAGGACTCACTCTAACATCATTCTAAAACCTCACTTTGGGTACTGAGTTAAACTCTAAGCACAGTTTGAAGAAGATTCATATTGACTATAATGGAGAGGGGACGTGAATGTCTCATGGGGAAAGGGTGAACAGAAATAGAATATTTAACTTAAGTCTCTGGGGACAGAGTACACAACTGTCTTCAAATATATTAAGGTATATAGGTAGATATTTGATGTTTGGCTGCTCGCATCACTTTACTTCCAGTAATACTGCAAGATATGCATTTGATGGCCAACCCATCCCTCCGGAAAATAGGACTGCCTCTTGATTATTAGATACATCAGCCATTACATTCCCATTTCTGCTTGGGTAAGTCTGAACTAGATTTTTTGCCACATGAAGTCTTAGCTCTAATTTTGTAAATTATAGAGTAAAAGTCTTCCGTTAAAGGGAAAGAACAAATTTATACAAATAAGAGCTATCTAAAGATGAAATTATCTATTTAGGGAGGTAATTCTGGCTTCAAATTGATAAACTGATAAAGATCTTTTTAAATCTCAAAGGCTATGAAATTATCTCTAAACAGTTCTGTTTTAGAATGGTAAGCACAGTGATAAAATTTAAAATCATTATAGACATTCATTTTTGTTCAGTGTTTAACATAGCTGTATTTTCATATTCTGGTTCCACATTTTCTTAGTATAATTTCTTTTATATTTCAATGTGCTAATGGCTGGTGAATTTAGTAACTTAACAGACCTTAAAGCTTAACTATTTTTTATATAAAAGGCTTACAGTTTTATCTATTCTGATGACTATTTTATTGTGCAAGAGGTCCCTACTTGGGAACATAACCTGCATTTCATTATTCCCAGTGGGCTAAATGACCTGTTCTGAGAGACAACATCCTAAAATATTTAAAAGGCATGATATTGTTTAAAGATTATTGTTCCTAAAGGGACAAAGGGGAAGGAAGTGGGAGGGCAAGGGGAAAGGATAGGAGGGAATGGGATTAATATGAGAAAATGGAAAAATAGGAACAAAATCTTTGTAAATAGGGAAGGGTGGAGGGGGTGAAGGGAGGGCTAGGAATGGGAAAAGAAAGATTATTCTTCCTTCTTAAAGAGATGAAATGAAATAAACAAAAGAGCAACTATTTATGTATGTTTGAATGTGCATCAAAACAAAATCTGGAATGATACATACCAAACAAATCATCTTGGGGTAAGAAATGGGGTAGGAAGAAAGGAGTGGATGAGTATACTCCTGTATTATTTGAAGTTTTACAATGATTTTAATAAAAAAATACTGCAATTTTAATTGGAAGGAATACAACTGATTCCATGTAGATTCAGTACTGGTTTATTTCTCTAAGTAAAAAATAGTAAAACAAGATTAGTATTGTCCGTTATTCATTTTTCTCATAATTTTGAACTACTTAATGAACATTTTAGAAGATGGTATTTCTGATTTCTCATGGATCACCTAAGTTCTGTATTATTTCAAATTTGAGAAAATCTTTTTTCTCCTGTTCTAGTTTTTCTCTCTTTATTAAAGTCACCAGAGATGACTTTTTGCTATTATTTTTTCTAACAAAAAGGATTATTTAGGTGACTTATCAGGTTGGCAGTTAAATATCCTTGTAAAAGTCAAAACAGCTGTAACTGGAACATTCTAATCTTTTGCAAGCTACATAGTTAAGAGTTTAACTCACTTTTATGTAGGTTATATTCACTTTATAGGTTATAAGAGAAATCTGACAAAATTTTAAATTTTCTAATTTTTAA